TGAGCCCCTAATAAAACGATTAAAAAAAAAAAAAAGAAACTCATCCGTTGTTCAATTCACGTATTATCAAAGAAGAATAGCCATGTTCATGTGAAAAGGCTATTAAAATACACTACACATCCAGGGAATGCTAGTTTGTTGTTTGTTTACATACACAGGTTTGCATTGCTTAACATCTACAATAGGTCCGTGAAATTTCAGCTTTGTGTAAACACCATGTTATTATATACAGGAGAAAGGTGTGCAGGATGGGCATTGGTTGGACCAGGAACCCTTACCACCACAGCCATGTTCAGGGTCTACATAAAAAAATTGACTTCACCAGCCACCAAGCACAGCTAATCTTATCAGCTTACCAACCCAAGCCTACCACCTCAGGTTCCATTCCCTGCCTTCCTCCCTGCCTGCCTTTCTATCTCCTCAATAGGCTTTAAACTCTTTCAGGCGGGCCTGCTCCTCCTTGTCCCTATCCTGTTTCACCTCTCATCACCATCCCAGTCACACCGCCACCACGGCTGGAGGTTCTAAGCTGGCTGGACACTCAGGCAGATCCCATGGGGCAGCGGCCTCCTCACTTTCCAAGTGCCTGCCTGAGGCAGCATGGATGGGAGAGCATGCTGGCTACCACTCCTGAGAGACAGATCTGATCTCCCTGTTTCCCTCAATCCTAGTCCCCTCTCAGGATTTATAAACTCTGTTATAACTTTATGGGGCCATGGATTTATATGGAACTGGAAGTTGCCTGAACGGATATTCGGTGTTGTTTACATGTATTTGTTAAATTAATCTATTCCAAAATCAAACACAGAAGCAAACAAAAAAGGGTTTGTAAAATAAAGATGATCTTCCTTTTCTCATTCAATTTATCTCTCACAAAGATGTATGTTGATACTTGACTTTATTACTGCTTTATTAATTAATCAAGGAGTAGGATTCTATTATCTTTGTTTTTGTTTCTAATATTAAATTCTGCTCTTTGTATGTTTATGACATGCATAAACAAAAGTTCTTTGAGGTCCACAATAATTTTTAAGAGATTAAAGTGATCTGAGATTAAAACATTAGAGAACCTCTGAGATAGAGAAAACTAATATTAAAAAAAAATTCTTACTTCCTTCCCCAACACCTGCAGGGGTGATTTGGGAGCCTGCTGTCCGGTTCCTTGTGTCAATTCAGGTTGTATCTCCGGTACTGTTGAAGGGACGGTGACATTTTCTTCGTTGTCATCCGTAGCAGGAATTCCAAGCAGTAATCTATAGGGTTTTTTTAAAAAAACAAACTTGTTTTTAAATCATTGATAACACAAAAGATGTTGGTTTTCATGGCTTATCTCTGGCAAAATAAATGCATTGATGTTTGATATTTGTACTCAACAGAGATTGTAGAGAGTTCAGATAATCCAAAATGGGGAATAATCCAAAAGTAATTTATGTTTGTCTCTGAATTCATTTTAATAACCTTTGTGATGGTTTTGTCTTATTACATTGAAATAATAAATTTACTCTAAGAAAGCCTATTTAAAAGTAGATAAAAATTCTCCCCCTTCTGATCACTAACCGTTGCCATTCCAAATTCATAGAGAACAGTTTCTTGTCTTGGTCTGGGCATAAACAAGCCTAAACAGAGCTTCCTTCTCATATGAAGGTTTCCTATTTTTAATCCTTATCTTTCTGAGATGAACAGAAAACTATTTAGAATCTTGCCTTCCCTTCCAGCCTGCAAGCTGTATATACACAAGACTATACAAAGAGGTACAAAATATACCAACCAAAACCCTAACTAATCAGATGTTATGTTAGATGAAGCTAAATTTGAAGGCAAATGTGTCATTTAAAGATGGCTTACAAACACCCAAAATATATATTGCTTTATTCATTGTATTTCAAAATGCTTCAAAGATATGTGTTAGGTTTTCAGTGGCTTCTTCCCCCACAGTGGAAAGCTGAATACTTCTTCAGTGCCGATTCTTATTCTGGAAGCTCCAGTGAACCGTGTTGACTTTGGATGACTCTGCTGGCATTTGAAATACCAGTGACATAGCTTCCAGCATCACAGCAACACACAAGTTACTGCAGTATGACAAACTGGCAGACAAGTGGTGGCTGAATGATGGGTGCAGGCAAAAGAATGATTGTGGGGATGGCACAGGACCGTGCAAAGTTTCGTTCTGTTCTGCATAAGGTCGCCATGGGTCGGGGGTGACTCGATGGCACCTAACAGCAACATTGATTGCAAAGGACATATTCAATGAATATAAAGTCCCCCAAATTATAATTATATCAACTTCACAAGGCAGTATTTAATATCAATATTTCCTCTAGCTGTATGTGTGTATGTGATAAAATATATACAATATAAAACTTTCCATTTTAACCATGTTTGAGCGTCCAATCCAGTGGCATTAAGCAAACTAACAATGTTTTGCAACCATAATAACCAGCTTTAGTTTCCAAAACTTTTCTTCACTGCAAACAGAAGCTTGGGACCCATTAAGCAATCATCCTTCGTGCCTGCATTTTTTCAGCTTATGTCGTTGTTGTTCTTAGATATCATTGAGTTGGTTCACAACAGAATAAAACACTGTCCAGTCCTATGCCATCCGCACAATTGTTCCCACGCCTGAGCTCATTGTTGAAGCCATGGTGTCAATCCACCTCCTTGAGGGCCTTCCTCTTTCATGCTGTCCCCTTGACATTACCAAGCATGATGTCCTTCTCCAGAGAATGATCTCTCCTGATAAAATGTCCAAAGTCTGTAAGAGGAAGAGGTCTCATCATCCTTATCTCTAAAGAGCACTCTGGTCATACTTCTTCCAAAATAGATTGCTTTGTCCTTTTAGCAGTCCACAGTACTTTCAATAAATATTCTTCTACAACACCATAATTATAAGGCATCAAATCTTCTTTGATCTTCCTTATTCAAAGTCCAACTTTCACAAGCACATGAAGCCACTGAAAATACTATGGTTTGGGTCAGGTACACCTTATTCCCCAAAGTAAGCTTTTCAATATCCTAAAGAGGTCTTGTACTGCAGATTTACCTATTGCAACTCATATTTTGATCTCTTACTCACTGCTTCCAGGGATGTAGGGGTGGTGGTGGTGGTGGTGGTGGTGGTGGTGGTGGTAATAAAAACAGACTAATTCCTTTTATTCCTGTTGCACACTCCTTGCTTGGGAGTTACAGAGATTTGGGTAGATCTCTTGACCGCTGCTTCTATGAGCATTGATTGTGAATCCAAGCAAGACCAAATCCTTGACAACTTCAACCTTTTCTCCCTTTTTCATGATGTTACCTATTGGTCCGGGTATGAGGACTTCTTTGCTTATGGTAACCACAAAATGTAACTTCTTGTCTCTATGCAATTCAGGAATATTTGTCCTTTTGTGTCTGGCTTATTTCACTTGTTTTAAGTTTATCCATGTCATTACAAATATTAAACATTCTTTGTGGTAGAATGATGTGATATATTTTTAAACAGTTTTATTGTCACATAATCCATATATCATACAATTCAATCATTCAATCATAAAGAAGAATTGTACAAACTCCGACTAACCACAAGCAATCTGAGAACATATTCTTCTTTCTTATACTCACTGCTGTTAGCTTTCCTCTCCCCAACACAACCTCCCCTGCCATACCACCAAGAAACAATTTATCCAAGTACTCTCTGTAGATTTACATATGACATATTTTTGCTCATTCTTCTGTTGACATACATGAGTTGTTTGTATATTTTGGCTATTGTGAACAATGCTTCAATGAGTATTGGTGTACAAGTATCTATATTCGTAGTAAAGTATGACGCTTGGTGAGATAGTTTATTGTGTGCCAACCTGGCCGATAAACATAAGTGGGATTAACTGAAGAGCGGAGAGATAAATGGCTCGGTGAGCCTTGCCTTGCTTGTCTCTTGCTCTTTGATCATTGGACCAGTGTGTGGCTGTCTTGCTTGTTCTGTGCCTCAATTTACAGGCTACCCGTGAGACGCCTAACCTGTGGACTGTGTCGTTATAAGTTGAGGTCCCTTTAAGACCACACCATTGAAATTTACATCTCTGGAGCTGAGGACTGACATTTGGTGACCTGGCTGACAATTGGTGACCTGCCTTGCTATTTGCTGCTGTGCTGATATAGCCTAGCTCTCTCTACAGAGGAAGATCTAGCAGCCCTCGAGACTTGAAGGACTGCTAGTGTCTCACAACTCTCTCCTGGGAGTGAGTTGCACTGAGTCATTTGTACTGCTTTATAATTTAACTGTTCTTTTCTTGTATTATATATCTATGTGTATATAATTTAACAGTTCATTTCTTGTATTATATTTCTAACTATCTTTATAAATAAGCATAAAATTATCAGCAATCTGGTTTTATCTCTCTAGAGAACCCTGTCTAACACACTTGGTAATGTAGAGAATCAGCAAAAAAGATGACTATCGGTGATAATGATTGACACAGTGACCGCAACAATGAGCTCAAACACATCAACTGTGAGGACCAGGAAGTGTTTTCTTCTGTTGCTATGGGTTGCTATGAGTTGGAACCAACTCAATGGCACTTAATAATATCAATATCTCTATATGCTATGGCATTTTGATATATCACTATATGAATGATTACATTTTATAAACTACCAAATACACAAGTCTTATTGGGTTTAGTTATCTAAAAGTTTACTGATATCTCAGAGACCAGGGGAGTGGCTTTTAAGAAGCAAGCTCACCCAGAGGTAGGCTGGACAAGATAGAGGAGGGGTCCTCAAACTATGGTCTGCAGGCCACATGCGGCCCGCCGAGGACATTTATCCAGTCCACCGGGTGTTTTTGCCACCGCTGCTTGTCCTGCTTAGCAGCCGACTCATCCAGTGTGCATAGGAATTTGTTCATGGTTTTTTTTAAAACTATAGTCCAGCCCTCCAACGGTCTGAAGGACAGTGAACTGGCCCCTGTTTAAAAAATTTGAGGACCTCTGAGATAGAATGTTGACAAAGTATAATCATAAAAAATAAAAAAGTTTTCTATCCCATCTGACTAGTATTTTAATTTGAAAAGAGATTAAATCTCAACTCCCAGAATGGCTAATAAAGTAGTTTGCAACTCAACACCTATTCCATCCTTTTGCTTTTTTTGTTTATTTTGCCTTAAAAAAAATTACTTTTATCCTTTTTCATTCATATCTCCTACAATTACTATTTTCCAATCACCATTACCCTGCTGACAATAACACCTAAATCATATAATCTGATCAACATCTTCCCCCGTTCTCTCTTCTTAGCCATCAGGAAAAGTGAAAACTATTCAGGAGATCCTCTCTTGTTCTACTTATGTTGAGATTAACCACACCCATGAAAGTTTATACACCACCATAGCCAATTTCTAAATTGTCCGTTCCTATCAACCCAGTATTCCAAGGAGACATGTAAGTTTTTTGGTCTGTACAACCTTCATTCCAGTTGGATCTTTGAGCCTCTACAACCATATGCAAAATAAGGTTGGGGGAAAGCCACGAGAACCCAGCAATTTACAACAGCTCACGGGATCAACATATTTCTGTTCAGCCACTCGGGCTCTGAGTTACTCCACATTAGTTGCCATCCATGCTAGGTCAATGGGTATCAATACCAAGCTTGGGAGTTCAGACACCTACCTGCACTTCAGATCCTCTGGTCCCTTCCCAAACTCATCAGTCCTAGCCCCTGGGGCCAGGTCATGCTCACAGACTCACTATCTGTACAACTTCAGACCAGCCAGCCCTTCCTCATCTCTAGCCCCTTGAATGAGTTTCTTGAATGTAAGAGGAGGAAAAGATTAGAAACACTCCTGCAGTCCAGCTATAGGCATGAGATTGGATTCATTAGTCAGATGCATTCACATGTTATTTAGAAGGGAGACGTTTCTGATGGCAAACAGTGATGGCAACACTGAATCCTTTTGCAGCAGAGTTCTAGTTACTCCTTCTATTGATTGGCTTTTTTTTTTTTTTAAACTAATGAGCATATCAAACAGACACAGTATGGCTCCAGAGTCACAAGCTGTGCTAGGACTGGCCAACTGGTTTCTGAATCTCAACTAAGGTGATATGTTGCCAGAGATGACTTCCAGTTTTCCTGCCTTCCTGGATGCACCAGAAGGAGCAAATCCTTCCCCAGGCATTGGAGTATATTATGAGAGCCATCCCTGGACACCCTGCCTACCTAGATCTCATTGATTTTTATCAGCACTTAATTCGGTTTAGTAAATTCTTCTTTGTTT